TATATAACATGTGAAGGTGTATTAGTTCCGATGGCTACATAAAACAAGGCGTAAAGGATCAACGCGTTTCACTATCTCCACTTCATCAGGATCCACGCCCACAAAAGAACATTACAGCAACTCCGCATCATTGCATACAGTCCTCAATTATATACAAGGGAAAGACATGTAGTGAATCCTGGGGGGCCATACACGGGGAACCCCACTCTCAAAATAAAAATCGCTTCATGCTCCGCCAACAGCATACCACCTAGTGAGACATTTGATGCTGTAATGTTCTTTTGTGGGGTGTGAATCCTGATGAAGTGGAGAAAGTGAAACGCGTTGATCCTTTACGCCTTGTTTTATGTAACCATCGGAACTAATACACCTTTGCATGTTATATACATACCAGCATTTGACATTTCCGATGGAATATCGCCATACAGCTTCTAACAGCAATGATTTTAAATATTTTTTTGTTTGTATGAATAAAATTTATTTGTGGTATTATTTCTGTATATATATATATATACAGTTGCAAGAAAAAGTATGTGAACCCCTTGGGATTACGTGGATTTTTGCATGAATTGGGCATAAAATGTGCTCTGAACGTCATCTAAGTCACAACAATAGAAGAAACACAGTCTGCTGAACATAATACTACACAAACATTAGATGTTGCCAAGGTTTAATTGCACATAACATGTAAACATTCACAGTGCAGGGAGGAAAAAGTATGTGAACCTTTGGACTTAATAACTGGTTGACCCTCCTTTGGCTGGAATAACCTCAACCAAATGTTTCCTGTAGTTGCAGATCAGACCTGCACAACGATCTGGAGTCATTTTTGACCACTCCTCTTCCCAAAACTGTTTCAGTGTAGCAATATTCTTGGGGGTGTCTGGTGTGAATAGCTCTCTTAAGGTCATGCCACAGCATTTCAATCGGGTTGAGGTCAGGACTCTGACTGGGCCACTCCAGAAGGCGTATTCTTTGCTGTTGCAGCCATTGTTTTGTTGAATTACTTGTATGCTTTGGGTCATTGTCCTGTTACATCACCCATCCTCTGCGGAGCTTCAGTTGGCGGACAGATGGTCGTACGTTTTCCTGCAAAAATGTCTTGATAAAACTCTGGAATTCATTTTCCCATCAATGACAACAATCCGTCCAGGCCCTGAGGCAGCAAAGCAGCCCCAAACCATGATGCTCCCTCCGCCATGTTTCACAGTGGGGATGAGGTTTTGATGTTGGTGTGTGCTGTGCTTTTTTTTTCTCCACACATAGTGTTGTGTGTTCTTCCCAAACAACTCAATCTTGGTTCAATCTGTCCACAGTATATTTTGCCAGTAGTGCAGTGGAACATCCAGGTGCTCTTTTGCAAACTTCAAACGTGCTGCAATATTTCTTTTTGGACAGCAATGGCTTCCTCCGTGGTGTCCTCCCATGTACTCCATTCTTGTTTAATGGTTCCTTATTGTAGATGTGTCAACAAAAATGTTAGCATGTGCCAGAGATTTCTGTAGGTCTTTAGCTGACACTCTGGGATTCTTCTTTACCTCATGCAGCATTCTGCGCTGTGCTCTTGCAGTCATTTTTACAGGACAACCACGCCTAGGGAGAGTAGCAACAGTGCTAAACTTTCTCCATTTGTAGACAGTCTGTCTTACCGTGGACACATGAACATCAAGGCTTTTGGAGATACTTTTGTAACCCTTTCCAGCTTCATGCAAGTCAACAATTCTTGATCGTAGATCTTCTGAGAGCTCTTTTCTGCGAGGCATGGTTCACATCAGACAGTGCTTCTTGAAACCAGTAAACCCAAAACAGTGTGTGTTTTTTTAAGGGCAGGACAGCTGTCAGCAACACATCCAATATCATCACACTGATTGGAGTCAAGGTTGGCTCTCCACTCCTTGCTCCAATTAGCTCTGGGAGAAGTCATTAAGCTAGGGCCTCACATACTTTTTCCTCCCTGCACTGTGAATGTTTACATGTTATGTGCAATTAAACCATGGCAACATCAAATGTTTGTGTGTAGTATTATGTTCAGCAGACTGTGTTCTTCTTTGTTGTGACTTAGATGAAGTTCAGAGCACATTTTATGCCCAATTCATGCAAAACTCCACGTAATCCCAAAGGGTTCACATACTTTTTCTTGCAACTGTATATATATATATATATTTATTATTGGCACACTTGAATTCCCTTTTTTTGCTTTTCTCTTCCTTTATTGGGAAGTGGAAACTATTTTGTGTTTCTCTAAGGTTTTACCCTCCTTATACCTCTAATACTGCAAGCATAAAGTGATTGTAAAGATACATTTCTATTTTTGTGAATGGTTTTGGCATAGAACAGCCCTGAACCTCCTCTTCTCAGGTCCCCCCGCTGGCTCTTCTGTCCCTTCCTTTTAATGAGTTTCCCCACAGCAAGCTGCTTGCTATGGGGGCACTTGTGCGTGCTTTCTCCCTAGCCAGCTCTGTGTGTCCACTGACCGCACAGAGTGTGGCTCAGCCTGCCACTTCCTCCCCACTGGTTGTGATTGACAGCAGTGGGAGCCAGTAACTCCCCACTGCTGTGTCTGAGCCAATGAGGAATGAGAGATTCAAGGAAGCGCTGGACTGAGATCAGGCTCAGGGAGCCTGTGGGGGCTTCCCTCTTAGGGGTGCTTCCCTTTTTTTATAAATGATCACATACTCTCTGTCCTCAGCTGCATAAGAGCTAGTGGAGGAGAAACAGCAGTACACTGATCTTCCCAGTGAAAGGATGTGCAAGGAGGGGGGGGGGTAGGGAGTAGGTGTGTCAGGACAAGTCTGATCATTGGAGGAGAGCAGGCAGAGTTCCCAGAACAGCTAGTAGAGAACTGACCATGCAGTGCTCTCATCCTAGTACGGTCAGTGTTTAATAGGAAGCAGAGGGACTGGCAAGAACAGCGGGGATTTCACACAAAGGAAGCAATACAAAGAGAACAGGAGACTTCTTCATACAAGTACATGGTATAGCAGGCACATATCAGGAATATGAAATGTTGGGTTTACATATTCTTTTCCTGCAGAGAATGCATTAAAAAACCTTCGACCTTTAGAACCACCATAAAGCTAAATCCCCGTACTCATGGTGAGAATATCAGACGAATGATTGTCCGTTTTTTTGTTTTTACATGCTAGCCTCATATTGAAAGTGAAGAGGTTGCTAAAGTTCTGAACATTCTTGTATGACAGAAAAAAAAATTCGGAAGTAATGTAATGTATTGTATTTTCGGAAGAAAACTGTTCCAAATAAACGAAAATCCCAACACGTGTAAATTAATTGGTTTAAGTGAAAGTTATAGCGTTTACAAATGGTGGTATAGATATTAAAAAAATTTTTTGTACTAGTAATGGCGGCGATCAGCGACTTATAACGAGACTGTGGCGGGAATTCTGACACTGGGTGGGAACTGACTTGGTGTCACTGACATCCCCAGTGATCAATGCTAATAAAAAGCACTGGCACTGTACTAATGGCACTGGGCAGGAAGGGGTTAATATCTGGGGCAATCAAAGGGTTAACTTTGTGCTGTTTCACTATGTGGGCTGTGTGTTTGTTTCACTGTAAGCACACTGAATTGTATGGCTCTGCTATGCACAGCCATACAAAGAAGTGTGCAGGAGCTGACAGGGAGAGATCTGTGTTGTTTATACGCAGGTCTCTCCCCCTTCGGAGATACTCAGCGATCACCAGGTTTTGGCGAGTAATCACCTGCCGGGACCTGGTGATTGACAGCCGAGGCCATGAATGGCGGCACAAGTAGGGCGCGCGTGCCACTCCCACCTGGAAATGCAAAATTATGTATATATACGTGATTTTGCGCATCCGTGCTGCCCTGTAGCTGTATTTCTGCTTTAGAACTGGTTAACCTAAATTATGATGGTGCCTGCATAGTTTTGGGGCCAATGCCACTTGGCAAAGTCGGAGGCATGACATCAATGATCTATTTTATTTGTCCGTAAGACAGGAGGTTTAACGCTCCTCAAACGCCTATGCAAATTATGCTATGGGCAGCACACAGTGCTGTTCACATTATCACATTATCAACACATGAAGTGTTGACATGAGGCTTCAATTTTGAAGCGACACAATGCTGAGTCTGGAGGAGTTTGAAGCCTTTCAACGCCTCCCATTCAAGTCTATGGTGACTCTCCACAAACACGTTGCGGCGCGTTTATTACCATTACAGTTTATTATAGGTGTTTGTGGTGCAGTTTTACTGCTTTTAGAATGCTTATAAAATGCCTCAAAACCCCGCATTGGGCGCTTTGCGAGCATTTTGTAACGCCTGTCTAACGCCCATACTAAAGCTCATTAAGGGCTGTCTAACGCCTATACTAAAGCTCATTATCGCCTGTCTAACAGCCATACTAAAGCTCATTAACACCTGTCTAATGCCCATACTAAAGATCATTAACACCTGTCTACTGCCCATACTAAAGCTCATTAACATAAAAAATGTTTAATAAGAAATAAAATAGGTGTTGTACTAACAAACGACAATAAAGTCAAGGCACATCATAAAAGAACAGCTGGATCAACACCGCGCTGAGTAACAGTCCGTAATGGGGAATGTAGACATCCAATATAGGGTGACGCGTTTCGAGGACTTGCCTCTTCCTCAGGAATGGATGTCTACATTCCCCATTACGGACTGTTACTCAGCGCGGTGTTGACCCAGCTGTTCTTTTATGATGTGCCTTGACTTTATTGTCGTTTGTGAGTACAATACCTACTTTATTTCTTATTAAACATTTTTTTATGGTAATGCACTAGGCCTGTGCGCCCCTCTCTTTGTTCTTTCCTCATTCAGTATATTTGGATTCCCCCGGTCTGTTGAGGGCAGCAAGGTGTGCATGTTCCAGGACATTCTTAATGTGGTTGCAGCCTGCATCGAGTCCATCCCCAAGCGCAGGAGCATTTGTGTTTGCTGGTTTAAAGCTCATTAACGCCTGTCTAACACCCATACTAAAGCTCATTAATGCCTGTCTAATGCCCATACTAAATATCATTAATGCCTGTCTAATGCCCATACTGAAGCTCATTAACGCCTGTCTAATGCCCATACTAAAGCTCATTATCACCTGTCTAACACCCATACTAAAGCTCATTATCACCTGTCTAACACCCATACTAAAGCTCAATAACGCCTGTCTAACGCCCATACTGAAGCTCATTAAAGCCTGTCTAACGCCCATACTGAAGCTCATTAACGCCTGTCTAATGCCCATACTAAAGCTCATTAACGCCTGTCTAACCTCCATACTAAGGGTATAGGAGCGTTTGTGCAGAGCTAGAAATTTAGTCAAGTGTGAACAAGCCCTAAAGATGGTATTCTAACCACCAATGTAAAGGGCATTTTTCCCACCGAGCCCCAAATAATTACATTTAGGTTTGCTGAGACCTGAAGTTTATTTCATGGGTACCTCTGGAGTGAAAAGGCTGGAAAAGGCTGATCAACAGGAATTTATTTTTGCGCTTATGAAACGTAGACAACAAAATGTATTCAACTGTGTCGTTAGCAGACCAATGGGGAGCAAATAAGAGCAGTTCATTGTTAGGATTCACATACACTTGAAATAAACCGTTGTTGACATAATTACCTTTCCTGTGCTAGGATTGTCTGAGCCAAAAGATATCTGTGTTGAAGTCTCAGCACTGCAATCTTCTTCTCCGCCTGGAATCACTAAATATAACTCATCAACACTTTAACTAGCTCCTGTGTAATGGCAGAACAAATTAACAGATTGTGAATGTGCCCAACAGAAAAGCCGTCTGAGGCGATATGATGGTGGTTTAATGAAAACATCTGCACGAGTGCTTTCTACATGGGCGGGGGGTTTGCAGCTTTTATGCAAATTGGAGTTTTGTGATGCGGATATTTGATTTATTTATTTATTACAGGTACTTATATAGAGTCGTTCATTTATATTTTACATATTTATTATACATTAACATCAGTCCCTGCCCCCAAGGAGCTTACAATCTAGGGTCTTGAACAGGGGCGGACTGACAACTCATGGGGCCCCCAGGCAATAGGGGATCATGGGGCCCCTGTGTCAACGCCCACACTCAAACCGCACCCAAAGAAGCCTATGAAAGGTACCAGGGGCATCTCATGGGGCCCCCTACTGACCCCAGGCCCTCGGGCAGTGCCCGAGTTCCCAAATGGTCAGTCCACCCCTGGTCCCGAACTCACCTTCATACATACACATACTAGGGCCAATTTAGAAAGGAGCCAATCAACCTACCAGCATGTCTTTGGAGTGTGGGAGGAAACCCACACAGGCACAGGGAGAACATGTCAACTCCAGGCAGGTTGTGAAAGTTCTTAATGTGGAATTCCTACTTAAGGCTCCATTCACGCTGAGCTAAGAATTTTTCAGGCGTTTTTTCAAGCTTTTTTTTTTTTTTCAGGTGTCTTTGAGTGTTTTTTTGACCAGATTTGCAAATGTTATAGGTGGTTTTTTCTTCAGGGCGTTTTTCATTTAGGCATTTTTGCTGTGAGCAATAGAAATAGAAACAGCTGCTGAAACTGAAAACGCCTGAAAAAAATGCTCATTCCCACTGTTCAGGCGTTTTCAATTCAAGTCTATGGGGACTTTTTTGAGCGTTAGGTGTTTTGCTGCATAATGCTCAAGTGTGAACACGGGCCATTGGAAATAATGGGATTTTACTTGTTGAGCATTTTTGAGTGATAAACGCTCAAGTGTAAAAGGGGTCCAACACTAACTATTCTGAAAAATGTTCCCTACCAGCTACTGCCACCTATCCTGCCTACTCTATGTAAAAAATATCCATATACTTACTTTTGTAACCTCTTGCCTACCGGGCACTGATACCCCCTTCATGCCAAGGCCAATTTCCAGCTTTCAGCGCTGTTGCACTTTGAATGACAATTGCGTGGTCATGTAACACTGTACCCATATGACATGTTTATCTTTTTTTTCACACAAATAGAGCTTTCTTTTGGTGGTATTAAATCGACGTTGGGTGTCTTTTATTTTTCGTGCTATAAACAAAAAAAGAGCAAAAAATAAAAAAAAAGTTTTTCTTTGTTTCTATTATAAAATTTTGCAAACAGGTAATTTTTCTCCTTCACTGATGTGCGTTGATGAGACTGCACTGATAGGCAGCACTGATGAGGTGGCACAGATAGGAGGCACTGATGGGCACTGATAGACTGCACTGATAGGCGGCACTGATGAGCTGGCACTGCTGGGCAGCACTGCTGGGCAGCACTGCTGGGTGGCACCGCAGGGCACAGGTGGGTGGCACTGATCATCAGGGCACTGATCATTAGTGCCCTGATGATCAGTGCCGATCCCTTCGCTGACAATTGCCGGTTCGCGGCAGTACTTTCCTCAAGCTATGACAGCGTGAGGAAAGTACAGCCGATAACTGGCAACTGTATTTGCCCAGTGATCTGCTGTGTCATTGGACACAGCTGATCACGTGGTAAAAGGCCGCCGTGATTGGCCGTTTACCGTATCACAGCGATCACCGACAGCACCAGGTGCGCGCCCCGCTGGGGACACGCAGGGGGCATGTTCTGGAATGATGTCCATGGATGTCGTTCCAGAACCAGACAACCGCACTGTAGCCATCCTTCGGCTATAGCACGGTAGGGAACTGGTTAAGCTCCTGCCCGATCACATGATCTCACAGCTCTGGCTCCCCTGTGTGAGTGAGCAACCAGCTGCAGGGGAGAGAAAGGAGCATGGACAATGGCTGGTCTATGGGAGCCTATGGGTGACATCATCGATACTGGAATTCCCAGCTGTTGTGGAGCATTCCCTGACTCAGGAGAGCTGGAGCTGCGGGATCTTGTGACCGGACCAGAGCGGGCTGAAAAAAATAATCCTGTGGACAACGGTAATATTTGTTAAGTTGTTTCAGATTTGTTCTTTAAGTTAATAATTTGGTTTCATCATATTCATTATGGTAAAATGATTTGTTTTGTTCGGAATTCGTTTCGTATATTTGTTACTTTCAAATTTGAAATTCAAATTTCAAAATTTTGAAATTCGAATTTTGAAAGAGAGCTTAATTCTTTCTGTTTTATTCTAATCTATTTTTTCTGTTCTATTATGTTCTATTCTGTTCTATTCTAGTCTTTTCTATTATTTTATTTTCTATTCTATTCTTTTATGTTTTATTGTATTCTATTTTGTTCTATTCTTTTCTTTTCTATTCTATTCGATAAAGAATCCTAGGTAGGAATCATCATCTGTTTTCACGTTTATATCTTATTGATTTATTGCAATGTTGCCATTTCGAATTCAAATTTTTGGAGATCAAATTAATTTTCAATTTTGAATTCAGATCATTTGTTTTTATTTCGCATTTTGTTGAAATTCATTACTGTTGTGATTCAGAAATTTGGATACTTCTGAATCTCCAAATAACAAAAATTGTGGCAGAATTTCGCTTTGAACAAAACGAATCACACATGTCTAGAAAAAAAGGTAAGTGTACAGATCTATTTTTACATAGGGTAGGCTGGATAGATAGCAGGAGGGGGGGAGGGGACATTTTTTAGGAATAGTTAGTGTTAGGAATTCCACTTTAAATTATTTGCAGTGTTCATTAATCCCACTAAATGTATTAATTTTCTTTTTGCAGGTGCCCTAAATACAGTGCTGTCATGTGATATATGGAACATATTATCGAAGGTCAGTTACGCATGTTACCTGGCACATCCAATTATTATAATCTTCTACTGCGGACTGCAGGAGACGCTCTTCCACTATCAGGACATCAACATGGTGAGGGTTGCTGAGGTCCATCTTTGGCAGGTAGAGTAGAAATGCATTAATTGTGAAGTCATGGAGGGGAGGCATATTGAAAAATGGTGAATACATGACTCCAACCTTTCTAAGATGGGGAAGAGGGACACCTTTTAGCTCAAGGTATGTAAGGCATGGGCACACCCCACCACACCCCCCAGTATCGCAGTCCGCAAAGAATGAATATGTAAAAAGTGGTTGTTTAAAGTACTTTTATTTCACTACTTCCTTAACCCCGTGTCTACTGAAGAACATTTAGACATATCATGGTATTCAAAAGAGTTAAAGCAAGCTCGAGGCAGGGCCGAGCCACCACTCTGTGTGTGAATGGACACCCAGAGCAGCGTCTCATGAGCATGCCTGCTTGGGTGTCCCCATAGCAATTTGCTTGTTATGGGGGCACTCGGCAGGAAGGTGGGGCCAGGAGCACCGGTGGGGACCCAAGACGAGAAGGATTGGGACCGCTCTGTGGAAATCCATTACATAGAGCAGGTAAATATGACATGTTTGCCAGTCTTTAATATCGCTTTAAGTGGACCTTCACTCCAAAAACTGACTTTGCACCAGTACAACCTTTCCCCCATCCTCAATCTAAAAAGCCCATATTGTTTTGTAATGTGATGCACAGTATTTACTTTTTTCCAGCATGCCCCAGCAAGCTCCCTGTGTTCATTTTCAACTAGGCTAGAATGATGTCCACCCACTCCAGGTGCTTCCAGGTATCCCAGGAGGCATTGACTTCCACCCATTGGCTGGAAGACAGCGGAACTGGCAGCTCATAATCGGGGGGGGGCACTGCCTGAACCAGAAAGAAACAGTCAGATTCCGTGATATTGGAATAGGAGATAGTTACATAGTTACATAGTTAGTCTGGCTCAAAAAACACAAAAGTCCATCCAGTTCAACCATAGAAAAAAAAAAGTTATCTTATATCCACAGTTGACCCAGAGGAAGGCAAAAAAACCCCCAGCAAAGCATGATCCAATTTGCTCCTGCAGGGAAAAAAATTCCTTCCTGATCCCCCGAGAGGCAATCGGATATTCCCTGGATCAACTTTACCTATAAATGTTATATCCAGTTATATTCTGTGTATCCAAGAAAGAATCCAGGGACTTTTTTGAAGCAATCCACTGAGCTGGCCAGAACCAACTCTTGAGGGAGTCTATTCCACATTTTCACAGCTCTCACTGTGAAGAAACCTTTCCGTGTTTGGAGATTACATTTCTTTTCCTCCAGACATAAAGAGTGCCCCCTTGTCCTCTGTGATGACTTCAGGGGGAATAACTCTACACTGAGTTCACTATATGAACCACTGATGTATTTATACATGGAGATCATATCCCCCTTATGTATTATACATGGTGATCATATCCCCCTTATGTATTATACATGGAGATCATATCCCCCTTATGTATTATACATGGAGATCATATCCCCCTTATGTATTATACATGGAGATCATATCCCCCCTTATGTATTATACATGGTGATAATATCCCCCTTATGTATTATACATGGTGATCATATCCCCCCTTATGTATTATACATGGAGATCATATCCCCCCCTTATGTATTATACATGGAGATCATATCCCCCCTTATGTATTATACATGGAGATCATATCCC